TTCCCTGCGATAAATTGACTACAATATTATGATTTGCGATTGAATGTGAATAAAAATAATGAAAATGGTTCATTTAAACTCTACAAATCGGGAAGAATCGCATCTTTAGATGAAGAAGAAAAAACCACTGAGCAAAAGGGAAAAATAAGGAAAAAAAGAACCGCGCGCAGATCCGATGAAGTAACTGAATTACACCCACCGCGAGCGAAAAAAGCAAGTATAAAATTATTGCGCCAGGTTTTAACGGCAGAAATATGAGTATTTGACTAAAATCTCTTAGTATCTGAACATTCAAAGCATTCCGTTCGGCTTCAATTTGGATGATTTTGTGTGTTGTTCTGAACTGCTTCTTTCTGTTGATTACAACTTTTGTAGTGCTTCTCAAATCTTCATTTTTTTCTTCGTTGTTGCTGCCTCTGCTTTTGGGTAGAGAGTTTGGATCATTTTTTGATATGCGATTTTTGTGTTTGTGCTTTGAAATTTCTTTACTAGTTTGGAACACTACTTTACCATTACGAGCTGAAAGTTTTTTTTTGTATCTGCGTGTTATGTTGAAATGAAGAAAAAGGAAACACGAAAAAAACACTAACCGAACAATACGATTTCCATACTTTATTATTCGACAAATAGCCGCGAGGTAGCTAATTAGAGCAAGAACCAAATACACAGTCATAAACTACTGTTGATTCGTATATATATAATGTGCGTTTTGTACGTGCGATTATTAAATTTTTGTAGACGATGGGAAAAATAGTGAAGCGGCGATTTTTTTCCCTTCTGGTCAAATAATAAGGTCAGACCAATATATACATATAATTTATATGATATAAACACAGAAAATTAAGTGCATAAGTGACGCTTTATTGTGCGATCTATCGGGCGATATCTTTGTTTCGATATAGTTTCTTGAATTTATTAATATGGGAAATGAATTTCATAATTTAGTGGTTTTGATTTGATTCATTTAGATTGAATTGTATTGGTGATTGAAACTTGATCGCACAATAAAGCGTGTACTGAATTGAACTCTAAAAGAATATCAACAAATAAGAACAACGTCAAATTTAAACTCAATCAAGACCACCATTCAAAGTATTCATAACGGTTTAGTTTGTTATGATTTCCTTCGTGTAATAGTGTTAGATGTAACCAGGGACATTTTTACCCTTCAGAGAGGGATCAGGGGGGGTCAATATGGAAACAAAAAATGTTTGTCTTATCAAGGGCTACAAATTTGCTGAAGACTGCAATCGATTATCTCTATTCGTTTACGACATAGGGTATTGTAATCAGTTCATGGGTTCCATTGAAACGCCTAGAGCCATAAAATCCCTAAATATTAATTTCTTGGGCCCCTCTACCGATTCCATACAAAAAAATTAAAATCGGCGTCTCACATATTGAATTCATACATTTTTAATTGGTCCATTGTATAGAGAAAATTTCTATTTGCTGCGGTACATCGATGTCTCCGTCAATTAAAACAATGTGTTAGACCATTAGAAGTTGGTAAGCGGAAACAATTCTGAGTTGAATTATGTCTATGATATATGTATATGTTTTGAAGCTCAGAAAAATTAACAAGTTGGTGTCAAAAGAAACCATCAAAGTCTGATATATAGCAATATAAAGCAATCCGATTCAAGCATCTAGTATTATCAACGGAAGATACAAATTGAAAGTAATATATTTTGTTGAAAGGCAAATATTTGCTGAGGAGGTAAATAGTATTTTAATGCATTGTGTGTAGGTCGACCGACTATTGCATCAACTGAAAACCATTCTCTACAGAGAAAGAGAAAATTCGATGTATATAAATGCAACGATGCGAACAAATTGACACGCGTGGTGTGTGTTCACTGTTCATTTTACGGACAGGTAGGTACCAATTGACTGAAATCAGTTAACTGACTATAAATAAATGTATTTCACCATTCATTTACAGTCGAAACAAAATCTATAAACCTCCATTGAATAGAAGTCAAGCTGCAGCATGTATTTTGTGTGGCATTTTCACAAATATCAAATGTTTTATTATCGTTTCGAATAGTGACATCTCCATGAATTGGTTAAATTGGCTTACATTGACAATTATAATTTCAAGATTATCTGATGATATAAATGATCACAGCATCTAGATGATACATTTCATACAGATTCATTTACCACATGAAACGATTGTGTACATCCAAAAACGGAAATTCATAAGTCATCCAATTAGCATTAAAGTTGATGTTAAGGTGTTAAATCCGTTGCTACTGTTATCACACGCACACACACACACACACACACAATTTAATGATCGCGTACATCCCACGCATCTTACAGTGATTTAACAGTTTATTCCTGTGACGTCTATTGAAAAAAAATTTGGCATGTTTGTAAACACTACGTAATAGATCGATGATTGTATATAAAAGTCACTGCGAGTCGTGAAACACGTTTTCGATTTAAAGAAGTAAAAAAAGCCTATAAATGCCATGATTTTAACGACTTTGAATAGAAGAAAAACGAATTAGTTTTTCAATTGAAGGTCATGGGCAAAATTTTACACGTCGAAATCCAAGCAAATAAAATGGACTATAATTTTTTTAAACCTAATTCTAAATTAAAATGCGTTGTCTTCGTAAGCGTTGTCGCTTATCAACAACTGTATGGAAAGAAAATAAGTTTATTTCATAGTAAACTGCAAATATTTTATGGATAAAATCACAGAAATTGCGGTGGAATCGTTTTGATAATATCATTTGAAAGAATTTTGCACAATATTTTCTGAATTCTAATCGGCTACACACTCGAATATACCACACATAGATATTTAGGCATTTTGCTAGTTGAGAAATGTTTCTTTCTCCCAATAATCGTACAGGTGCGCACTTATTGCGACTTCTTTTAACCAATCATGTCGTTATAGTATACGCCCATCGAGTTAATGTGTGTACACGCTGTGGATTTACGTTTTTTTCACATTCATTTTTTTTACATTCTTATTCGTTGCGCGCGCGATCTGTTGTACGCGTTCGTACAGCGAATCCGAACTGTTTGTTGTTTCGATATGTCTTTTTCTTTCTCTTTCTCTTGTGTTGGATTGCGAACGTTCAAATGTGATGATTTTCAAAGCAAAAAAGAATGAAAAAAAAAACAACTGCTTATAGGTCCTAGAAAAACGAAACGTCATCGACATGTGTTGAAAATGACACAATAAAATGTGTACACTTTAAAACACAATCAACAGTCAAATAGAAATCAGTCTGTCGCGACAAACAAAACAAAATAAACCTTCTAATGGCATATTACCTATATACGCATTTATCAGTTTTGATTTCGTGAGCTAACTTTTGTTCCTTTTTTTACTATTTTCGGAAATCCGGAATAAAAAAACTGAACTCATTCAAAATATCGACGCGAAATGAAATCGAAGAATGAGAAAAAGTCATGTATCATCTAAATATCTATCGAAATCATAAGAATAAAGAAATTAAAAGAGCTAAAGGGCACGCACACATGAAGAAAAAAACATGCAAGAAAACAAAAAAAAAAGAGTCAAAAGGCACGATTTTATAACAATTTTTGTTGCTGTCTACCATTATTCCACTTACATTGCTACTGTTTTTTTTTCTGTCCGCCAGCCATTCACTTAAGTAAGTTTTTCTTAGTGTCTCTCTTGCGTTCACTAGCACCTCACATTCTTTTCACGCTCATCTCGACGACTTGAGTCACACTTTGATCCGAAAAAAAGAATCGGCATGATGTGTATACTTTGTGCATGGTATGAAAGAGTGCGCGGGAGCGACTCGCCGAAGAAGACACGCGAACGAATAAAATTTATGCATTTATAATTTGATTTTAATCCGGCTCTCTTTTAGGTTTTTGGTTTTTCACTCTTCACATACAAAATTAGCCTGGTAGTTTTTTTAATCACAATAAAAAAGCACTCGACAACCACAAGAGTGCGGTAACACGGGGAATAAATACACGGCTAAATAATAATATCAACAACACGTGGTTGAATGTAACAATTGATTCGTTATCGTTGTCATTCTTGATGACAACATCACAATAATCTTCTTTGGCCTGGATATAACTTAACTTGTTTGGTTCGAATACCTTGTATGGTTTTTACAATATTTTTTTTCTCATCTTTTTTGCATGCAAAAACCAAGTTAAGCGCCATGATGGGCTGTTATTTTTGCATACAGATTTGAAATGTTGTCATAATATTCGACATAAATTGTTTTCTTCTCTACGAAAGACATTTTTTTCTGCCTGACATCGCAGAAAACTATAAACAAATAATTAAACATTTTGTTGCTAACAAAAAGATCGAATGCATCTCTATGAATTCATTTAATCAGTCATCATTTCCAATTTAATTCAAATGGAATCGAAAGTATGTATGACGTAATTCTAATCGTGATTTGTTTTTGGGGCTCGATTTTGGCTATCACAAGTTGTATACAAACAATGTCATGTTCAAACTCGATTCTATTTCTTCTGTTGCACCAGCATTACAATCTATCATCGACGATTTACACGGTGAACGGTGCTCAACGTCAACAACAATTCCAACACTCACCTGGATATTAGAATATCCATATCGCATACCGTTGTCGTGTGTGTGTGTGTGTGTGTGTGTGTATCGGTGTTTAAAATGCGCTTACCAAATCAGCTCTCTGTTCTCTCAATAAACATAGAGCGAAAGAGAATGAAGCGCAATCACATTGAATGTGTATGAGCACGCACATGGGCATACTGTAAGTGCATTACGAATGAGAATGGAATACAACGCAGCTTGAAAAAGATGCAAAGAAACTTATATGTGCGCGATCGTAATAATAATGTGAATAGGTATAAAGAAAAGCAAAATCGTTTCGCCTTTGCCTTCTAGAAGAGAGCGAACGCTTCACCAAGTCTTTGGTACAATGTTATGATTCAGTATTCGTTTAGACCGCGACGCGATTAACCACTTTATTTTCAACGAGAGAGAGAAACAGAGCCGCACATTATTTTACCTGATCGTAAGTTCGTAAGATACGTTATTGTGTTGTCCCGGCGCAAAGACTCATTCCTAGTACGAAGTAAACATCGTTTGATTTCGTTTAATTAAACAAAGTTTCAATTTTTGAATAAAAGTTTTTCGATGTACAACATTCTCAAGTTTTAATTTTAATATGTTTTAATTTAAAGACGTTTCGTGTTCAAAGGAGACGATTTTTTGAAAGTATGTTTTTTAACAAATTAGAATCAATCTAATCTATTATTCTTTTGTTTTCGATAAAATCCAATCAAAAACAAAATAATTTCTTCAAATTCCAAAACGCAATTGATATGTGATTGGGCATATTTATGTGTATTCGAATGTAAGGTGTTAAGCATTAAAATGGTGTTCAAGAAATAGATATATTGATACATTGTAATGCGATTGTTGTTGACATAATTTGCAGCCGCCGTGCTAATGCTTTTTAAATTTTAATGTAAGCCTGAATACATACCAATTGCGCGAAGCCAACGGCAATGTAAAAGTGAAAAAAATTTCAATACCTCCCGCATAGATAAAAATTTGGTTTAAATGTTTTTCAAAACCACTATGAATATGCCAAACAATGAACGAGAATACGCAAAATCAATTGTGCTCGAGCAGAAAATATAAAAGACAAAGTGTGTGAAAAGCAAAAATAGAAAGACAAAAAATATCTAGAACAAAATTATCGCAAAATAAATATAAATGTAGAGACATTTGAAAAGCCAAGAATAAAAACAGAGAGAAACAACAATCAACATTTGCCAATGAATTTATGAGAAGGACAGAAAAATAATACAATGATATCGCTTTAGATTCGATTTCTCTCTCTCTTTCCTTAAATTGTTCACATTTTGTACATGGTTTATTGTTTCAAATAGTTGTATGAATACATTTTGACTTACCCGCGCTTTGAATATTTAGCTTTTTATTGTTTGTTATTCTTTATCATCGACTGAACTGTAATGATTGTTCAGCGAAGCAAAAAGGATTCTCAGTGACAGTATATTCTCATTGATTGTAGTTTTGATTGCGCTTCGTAGTCACTTCAGGAGCTGAAAGGAGCGAGTAATAAAATAAAAGATATTGTCATATGTTTCGAACGGTTTCACAGTCAGATGCAAAATATTTGTCGATATCCGATATTAACATTGAACCTTCGTCGGAGATAAGTTAATGCGCGGAAAAACATTATCTCTTTCTGCTCGATGCTCGATGTCATCGTACATTGCATCGAAAACAAAACAAAATTTTCGTTTCTACGGATTATGTGTGACTGTTCTTAGCAAAGATTTTCTTTCTTTGCTTACACTGACAATCGGTTATTACTTGGAACGAGAAAAAAAAAAGAAAAAAATATGATAATGTCGCGCATTTTGTTCGGATTTTTCCAACGCTTGATCCAACAACGCAGAAAAATCCATGTCGCACATACCATGGAAGTTTTTTTTGAATGCGATTTGTTGTTCCAGCATCCAAAGGAATTCGGTTCAATAAATTCATAAGCATGGCCCATTGTCTTTATATATGTAAAATAAAATCTCAATTTTTTTTTGCTGTAGTGGACATTGTGGGCAATGTGCACGTACACTTTTGTGTCAATGCATTTGTTTTCGCTCATTTCATTGGTCCATTGCAATTGTTGGAAAACAGTGTGCATGAAAAATGATTCGTATATAGGTTATATTTCAACCATAATCCAAACATTGTATTCTACTGAATTGATCCAGTTGCGCGAGCGCGAGAGATAGCGAGATGAGGAGAAAAAAAAGATACACAGAAATATATTAAAATTTATGATTTGTTGTTGTTCATATATTGTAGTTGCTGTTTTTTCTCTTTATTTTTATTGTGTATTGTAGTTGAACAAGCGACAGAATTATATCGAATTGGTAACATCTCTTTTTTGACATAGCTTTTTGTACTTAATATTTTTTATTGTTTATGTTCCAATAAGATTGCAGAACAATGATCAATTCCAACAGACTCATTGTGGTCTTTTTTTCCTTTTCATTTGATTTCACTTTAACTACGACAAAAAATGCTACCAACAAACAAAAGTCAAAGGAATTTTCCTAGCCAATGAACAACGACGATAAAAAGAGAGAAAGTTTTGCAATTTCATGTAAAAATAAAACAAAAAAATACATTGGGACCAAATGTGAAAGAGAAAAAAAATTCGAACAGCGGGTGGTTTTCAGAAGTAAGATTATGAACACTATAGAAACAATGCTCAAATAAAAAATGTCTAGTTATGAGTTGTGAAAATTGCATGCAAGCACAGACCACAGCACATAAACAATGATGTTGGCGAATAAAAGATTCCATGCGACAGTAGACGACGAACCCTTATTCAGGCGCCAACCTAAAAATGCGTGCACTATATTATTCTATCCATCGATGATGGCCTTTTTAGGTTAAACAATTTCTTATAATGAAAATTCTATCACAGATTGGTATTAATATTGAGCAAATATTTTCTCTCTTTCCAGTTTATGGTGATGAAGTGATGCACCGACGGGAAACAGCGAACAACTTGAACTTTAAGATTTAAAGTTTAATGCTTCTAAAAGTGATTTCTAATGAGAAAAAAGTGCTAATAACAGTGAACAACCAACGTATAAGAAAAAAATATAGACCTTTGGAGAATTATGAGTTCATAGAGTGATAATAGCAATAGTGTAGACTTGGTATTCTAATCTATTTATTTCCTTTACATAAACTTTATATTCAATGTTTATTTGGTGCATATGTTCGGAAAACTGAATCAGTGTGACGGTGTATTATTTGAATCAGGCAAAATGTTTACTCGGTAAGTTTTCTCACGCTATTAAAATACAGAGAGTTAAGAGTATTCTTTGAGTTAGAAGAGAAGGCTCGAATGAGTTAAGACACTGATTTAATAAAATTGATTGGGCTCATTTAAACGAGTAAAACTGATTGCATCTCGCTGGTCGATTGATTTCCATTCATTCAAAGTCAAATGAAAACAATTGCATGTGGCAAGTGTTGACATCTACTTGACTCTATTATCGCTTTGATTGATTCTCTTCGTTTAGTTCATTGGCCAAATACAATGCAACGGTACAAAGACCACCATCTAAGAGAGTACGGCGGTCGTAAGTAATATTCTACCATTTTTCCATTGAACTTTGTTTATATTTCAATGTCCGTATCAATTTTTGTCTTCCATTTGATAAATACGATTTTCATATCGCCAGATACTTAAACATTTTCGTATGGTGTCGGTGGTTATCGCGATTATAATAGACGCCAGACTGAGTGAAATACAAAACTCGTTATCCATTTATAAAATGTAATCTCTATAACAGCGAAATGTTAAAACATTTTACAGCCGTACTGTCAACTGTCACACCAACTGATTGGATGAAGTCAAGTCCCATAAAATTCAATCAGTCGTTCTTCCTACATTTTATGCTGTGTGTTTATGAACGATTGTAAGAGAGGAAATAGTACTTCAAAATCAATATCATCGATATCGTCTCCCGTTTTTATTGTGTCACATAAAGATGCACATTTGAATATCATTCGATAAAATCAAGAACTGGAACATAGTGAATTCTGAGTTTCTGAAGAATTTACATAAGAACAAACGAAAAATGCAAAAAAAATATATCTCATTGGTTAATTTGAGATTCACATGTGCTCATAAATAGTTGATTGAGTGCCGATCTCATTCAACTGCTTCGTTTGCTTTTCATGATGTGACATTGTCTGTGATCATCAGTGACATGGATGTCAGTGTTTTCGAATAAAAACTATCTTTCTATTCAAATACAGAAAACATAAGCTAGACATTGGTCAGATCGAAAACGAATATTTCACTCAAAACATTTGCAATGAGATGAAAAGATATTGCACACATTATTTTCTATTCTTCAAAAAATTTATTCAAAACATTTGCATTTAATTTTTTGTTTGCGGATTTCTGGATTTGGTTTCATTCAATTTGAGCTGTGTACGTAAATTGTTGTCGAAATAAATTGGATTATGCAATGATTTATAAGATTTTGTGGATATATTAGATTTTATTTTACAATAGTACAACTATTGCGACGATGTAGTCTATGCGAAGATATCCCACTGCTCGAAATAAATAATAAATAAATTAGATTCAATTTTTTTCATCCAACGAAAAACTTCAATAGAAGCCGCCTTTCAAATGACAAACAAACAAAATTGATGCTTGCCAAGTTGCTTCGATTTGTTTTTTAATTAATACATCGTTTCTTGTGAAAAATGCGCTAACGCCGGTAGCAAATGAATATCTAAAATTTGAATTATGCTGCAACCAGAATTTTGTCGTGGACACCAGAGTTTGAAACGCATACATGTTTTATTGGAAACGAAACTATTTTCAAAAATCATTTAAACAAATAATAACGGTTGAAACCACATATGTAAATATTGTTTGATTTGAGCGTCGTTATTTGATGTTGTCACCTGCGAGTAAAAGTTGGATATTCTGAAATAAAAATTATGAAAAAAAACTATTTTAGCGAAATATCCGAAGATAATTTATTCTATATTTATACCGGCAATTAGAACGCCCTCTTCGCGTTATTGATAACAAGAAAATTAAAATCACAAATGAGATTGAAAATGTGTAAAAAAAATTAATAACAGAAAAAATATTCGTCACTGCAATATTGTAAATAAATATCTTAAAATTTAAATTTAAATCTACAATCTTTGACTTTTTTCTCTGAATATTTGTTTAACGGCTTGACGCCAGAATGTATACAGTATACACATTATTGTTAATATATCGAGTGAATGACATTTTATGTGCATATGATTAAAACTGTCGTTGAGCAAACGAGAGAGAAATACATAATTGCTTCTTTTACGTAAATTGAGCGTGCATATTGCAAATATAAATTCAATGAAGCGCGTTCAACAATTTTACATTTTTTATGTTTTCCAAAACGACGATTCACACAAGTCAAAACTTGTCACACATCAGCTTCTGTTTGCACCGATATATTCAACAAATATTGACATAAATGTTGTAATGTATATTGAATATGTGCGCGCAGTTAAACGCGATTTTGCACTGTGATACGATTCAATTGAAACGAATGATTTGATTTGACATCGATCAAAATTGTTATTACAACAGTAACAACAACAAAAACAAAACACATGCATGGACATTTTGATTGTTCGCGTCAATTAAAAGAGAATAAAAAAAGGTAATTTCCACAAAGATATTTAAATTCATATTAATGACGATGAGAAATGATGGCTGTACAAATCTTTAGAAATAGTGAGGAAATACATTTGACAATGAACGAGGTGACTGATTTTAATGAGCTAAGTTTATGAATTCATTCTTAATTTTTCAGTTTCTGCTCCCCATTGAATTCTGTGAAAATCGACTTTTGTTTGCTAATAAATAAATACAGCAATGGGTTTCCGAACCGAAATACGTCCGACTCGTATCTTAGTTTGAGTATGCGTTTGTTTTCGTTCCTTTTTAGCATCAACGTGTTAATTGAATATAAGCAATAATATACGATAGCAAAGCATGTGCTTCTCTGCTACAGAAACGATCGACGGAAGAACGAAAACCGTAACAATATACATATTCTGTGTCTGTTAGTGAAACGATCAACATTTATTTAGTTCCTCACTTATAAAATGCAATACTATACAAACACATATTTCAAGCATTTGTAAATGCACAAGTTCAAAAGGAAACAAAACCAAAAATTACTTGATCAAATAACAGTAATTTGGAAAATCAACAAAAATCCACCAAAATAAATGTGTATATGTTTTCTTTTTGTAGATTTGAAACATTGAAATCACCTCAACTCAATCAAAATGAATAAAAAAATCGGGTTCACTTGCCTCGGGGAAATGCTTTTTTGATGTGCACGATTTGTATGGTTTGAATATGATGTGTATCACTGAAAGTGTTGGCAAAGCGGCCTTCAATTCTAATTTCATAATGCACAATAACGAAAATGCATCATTTTATTTGCTCATTCAGTAATTTTATTGTTTTATGTGTGTGATAATTTGATAATTTGACAATATCCTACACTTCACTTCAGCAAATATCTAATTGTTTGCATTCAAATTGCCATATGCAATTCATGATTTTTCCATTTCATCTCAATTAATATTTAGAAAAAAATGTAAATCGTTTTAAATATTTTATCGACGCTTAAATTTGAATTCAAAATTAATTGGATGAGTTCTCATTCAATTGTCTTGCGCTTTGATTGTTCAGAAATTGGAATTATAGCGCCTTCAATTTGAAAATAAAAATAAAAAAAATGGTTTGATGCTGAACCTTTTCTATCAAGAGCCCCGATATACAGAAGTTGTGTAACAAAAATAACAACACCATAGATGTTTGCTCAATCAAATACCAACAATCAAAAAGGGTCTCATTTTAGCAATTAAATAAAAGACTCTGTCCATTTATTCTCAATATAATGTTCGCTTGTTCCACGCATAGCGTTTATCTTATAAATTTGTGCACACCAAGAACTGTTTCCTTTTTGATACGTTGCTGCTTTCAATATCGAACTTGTAATGTGATCTTGTTACATGGCTACTGTTTTCCTGAAACATCGTCGCGTTTCATTTGGTATACCAAGAATTGAAACTCGTCGCTGCTGCTCGCGGATACATTTCATAAATCGATGCGTGTGAGTGTATTATGGAAGCGCGAGCATTTGTCCACACACTTACATTCAGTCTCTTCTAATTTCAAATAAAATGCAACACAACACCTGGTAGTCCAAGCGAAAACTGTTTAGACTTTATCGTTAAAGTCACTGAGAGCACAATTTATTGAATGATTCTTGCGATGCAGCAGAACAGATATGTACAACGGTGAAATATACCTTAACTTTTATCGCTTTGTGTCGTTTTCCATCGCGTCTTAGTTCTTGCTGGTTTTTTTATGCAATTCGAAACGCATAACATCCTATTGTTCTTTAGCCGATGGATGTGATTTTTGTTTTCCAACAAAATCAGTACATTTATACATATAGGTGTTCTTCATGCTTTGTGCGTTTTTATTTTCAAGACACCTACGTAGAGAAAATTCATCTCTTGAGATGTAATGAAAGACAGAAAGAGAGGGAGAGAGGGAGAGAGGGAGAAAAACACCGAACGCATATTGTCACATCGAACATAATATACAAAGAGTCAGCACCATCAACACGCGATGAACTCGTATCAAATGTGGAAAATAGTATGCAATTTAAAGATGGTTTTATTCTTATTTTATCGCATAACATTTCGAATTTGAACAATGAAAAGCCCAACCATAAACGCTAAATACTCAACGATATTTCTTCTCTTTGTGGCGCAATAGAAAGAGAGTGGAAGAGAGCGTGCGCAAAATGTACCTTCATTCAATTTATTTGGAAATTAAACCACACACAATTATGCATACAATTTAAACATATGGGTTGTAATTGGAACAATATTGTTTCGATGGAATTCGATAGCGAGGAACAAAGACAAAAACAATTAATTATTTCTTTCTTTCTATGTTTCTCTGGTTTAAGATTTTTTTGTCGACTATTTGTCTATGTTGGCGAGGATTGGTGGTTTACATTTTTCAAAATGTAGATGTTGTATTTGTGTGGTTTTTTGCTTTCAACCAGCAATGTATTGTACATACTGTGGGAAAATTGTCTACCAAGAGATGCGAACAAATGTGCTCGATTGCTTTTAAACTCAAATGAGATCCATTTTGTGTCACTCTTCAGTCTTATGCTATGTCAAAATCACTTCTCTTTTTAAAAAACAATGACAAATCTTTTTCTTGTTAATGAATTCTGTTGCACAGAGAAAAAAAATTTGGTAAATGTAAAGGGTAATTTGTAAGTTTAATATTACTTTACCAAATTACCGTACGAATTCTACCATTTTGTCATATTTTCAAAACAAACGACACGAACAAATTAAATTTACCCCAGCATAATATTACATTTACCAATTGCCGCGTAGCAGTCAAATCATACCTAACGTCGACATATCATCGACTGTGTTATTAAATTCTTCGTATTGAATTCGACGATTTTGATTTCACTTTTATCGACGATTTCTGTATTATTCATAAACAAATTATTAAAATTTGCCAATCCCAATTCTGATTTGATCTCTTCGCTTTTATTTTTTTGAGGACAAAAGTACACGCGATTAGACATGTTGTAGGTTGTGAACAATACAATGATATGTCGACGTTAGGTATGTTTTGACTGCTACGCGGCAATTGGTAAATGTAATATTATGCTGGGGTAAATTTAATTTGTTCGTGTCGTTTGTTTTGAAAATATGACAAAATGGTAGAATTCGTACGGTAATTTGGTAAAGTAATATTAAACTTACAAATTACCTTTTAAATTTACCAAATTTTTTCTCTCTGTGTGCAATCAACGATTATAATCATTACGTTTTTTTTGTACATATATGACTCACATCATCAATAATTTCACTCTTCATAAATTTACTCTTATAATCATTATATTTGGTGTTCGGCGAACATTCAAATTCAAAAGAAATAACCCGATCAGAGGTCTTTTTAGTGCTTTGATTGAAAAGTATTAATTGAAGCATAAACCAAAAATGACACATGAAATAAAATTTAAAAAAAAAAAAACATTTGAAAATAGTGTTAAAAGGTATGTATTAAATTCTAAACTAATTTTGCAATTGATTAAGTCGCTTATGGCTGGCCGCAAATGAGAAATGTTGACAAATTAAAAGGCAAAATGAAGCATTTGATTTCAGCAAAAATATTGTGTCAACAAATGCAATTATCTACAGAAAAGCCATTGATGTATGGTAGATTTTTTATCCAAACCAATGAAAACCCCAAGAAAAAAACTTTGAAAAAACTCCAATGCAAAAGAACTATTTACAAATGCTGCTCAAACACACACACACACATGACAATATTAGTTATTAAAAAATTTACTGCTTAATCGATGGTATAATAAATTACATTGTGGTCTCATGCTCTGAGCACGGTACTCAAACACATGGTAAATAACTGTCGTACGAAGTGTAAGCGTTTAATAAACACCTTTGCCGCTCTAAACGACCCGCGTTTTTATTCGTCTAAATGTGTTTGAATCGGTAAATATGAACAAAAAACAGCAGCATGTTAAACTTTAAATGTACTTAATAGAAGAGATAATTATATGGATAAATTCTATTGGTGCTGCTCAGCCGAAGATAGAGACAGAGATAGAGAGAGAAGTTGTTTGGTGAAGTCAACGAGCGGTAAATTCGATAGATGTTAGGATCGAAGAAGAAAGTGTGCACGCACCCGTTTCTTTTATATAGTAAATAGCACAAGCCGCACATAGCGTTAAATGAATATTAATTCGTTTTGTTTTAAGTTTTTATCGTTTAACGCATATTTTTCTGGATAATAAATGAACGTTCTCAGTCCGACGGATCACTTTTTTGGAACATTTTCAACGTCTTCATAATTAAAAAAAAATATTTTCGCTTCGGCTTTGATTTTTAATTTTCGGCAATTCGTTTTTTATATAATGATTCGGCACACGCGCGCACGACATTTACAACTTTGACTTTCATATGCGAGACAATTTAAAGTGTCGATGACTGTTTTGTTGTTCCGATCAAATTAAAATGAATTCACTTTGCATTTTAATCATAGACTAACAATAGAGACGCCCATGAATTATACGTTTATTGTAATTCAAATTGTGAATGAGATCAAACAACGATTTCAATTGTTAGTCGTCAGATTTAAGTTATGTTCCTGCGTACCAATTAAGTTGCTGGGGATTTTTTCGGCGATTGGCGATTGATCCTAATCGCACCGCCAAGGTTCCGTTTGAAAAACGGAAATAATTTAATGTTTAAACAGGATTTACCTGGAAATTAAAAAATACAACCCTTTGGTACGTGATTGTTCTTTTTGCTCCGACACAACTGTCTCTCCACGAATAATTCAGGAAATAGCGTATTGAATATTAAATCTCGATTAACGAATAACTCGTTATCAATTTGATGTATTCGTCTTTAATAACATTGAATTTCAGCGCATCAATCGGTCGCTGAAAATATAAAGAGGAGAAAAAAAAACTACGCCTTGGCTTTGATAAAACGCTCCGAGTGGGAGAAAATATCTGGATAATGGCGTAAAAATTGCAATAATAATTGCTGAATTATTGTATGATTATGTTCATCGTCGTCATCATTCCATAAAAAGAATATTCTCACAAGTAACGATCGCATACTATTCATACGAAAAATGCAATATGCAATATGCATGCGCTGCTTCAAGCAACAGAACAATAATGAAATTTGATTGCGAAAATTGTACATGTTCATAAAATAAGTTGGAAGTGGCAGTTGGCACGTTAACAAAAACACACCGAATGAAATAAATTTCATGAAAATAAAAAATCCAAACGTTTCAATTCAATAAAGTTATTTTTTTATTTCGATATATACATTCGATGCGTCTCGTTTAGAAATCTATGCGTTAGAAGATGTGTGCGATTGAAGGAAAATGTGTTTTTTTGACAATGAATTGTACAAAATGATTGCCCGTATTGTTAAAGTTGCATGTGCAAGGGAATTTAAATTACAGAGAATGTGAAACAAAGCCATCAATTGCAATCGGCATTATCGGTATCGAGTCTGGACATAGTTTGGTAAAATGTATGAGACAATAATGTTGAATACTCAAATTGGAGGTTTGATATGACAAGAATTCGATTTGCTGATGAAAGAGATGTGAACAGTGAATGGCAAATAGAAATATGCATGGCAATTTGCTTGCGCATGCACACACACATATGACTCGTTTATAACTGTCCAATGTGACGCAATTGATTATTCAAAACTTTTTTTGTGTATTGTATGTTTAGTTTTTGTTTTGTTGCACTTCAATTCGCAAATATTTTTCGAGCGCTATCTGTTTTCCATCTGAAAATTCGTCATCATTCCATTCGATAGCCAGACAAACCGACAACACAAAATTCTTCAGCAAAAGATGCTGATGATGATAATAATACGAACGCAGCAGAATACGTTTACATTCCATCCTTCTTTCAATTATAGTATCATCAAGTTAATAACCATGGTTTGGACAATATGAGCAATTTGATAAAGGAGAGAGAGAGAGAGAGAGAGAGAGAGGATGAATGGCATCGATATCTGAGAAGTGGACAGAGATATTGAGATGCATGTGAATTTGACAGCGCAATGATGTTGAACTGCAAAGAATCATAAGTGGCTTGGAATGATTTGGTTCTCATAAACTAAACGACATGCTAGGAAGCTATATTTTTTCTTCGCGGTGAAAATAATGTGTTTGAAGTGATTTAGTGTCAAATGGAAAGCATTGAACTTTATGTCTTGCAATGTGACATTTTCACGGTTGGATTTCTGTCTGGCATATTATTTGCCGAACAATGTGTTGAAAATTCTGTCACATAAAATCTGTATACACAATATTTAATTCTATTCTTCGATTTAAATCAGTCAGAAAGTCTACAGAATTGCTACGAACTAAATGAATTCTCAAGCGATGTAATCCTTACTTTTGTTTCTAGCAATGTCCAATGTTGTTGTTGCTGTTGCCTTAAGCGTTCTTCACATTTTGATCATGATGCGGTGTGAATTGGGGCGCGATAAAATTGTAAACAAAACTAATAAAATAATTTATGTTTAAGAGCCATCGCTTATGATTGTGTACAGATACGCAATTTGCATGGTGAAATGAAAAATGGAATTAAAATGAGAGGAATACATGGACGCGGTGATGAGTTTTTCACACTCATCCACAACTCATGTTGCACTGTGCAATGCTTGACCGTTTTATTCTGGTTGCTGGCCGCTCTTCAAATGTCGGTGCACAATTCATTTGGTGATCTTTTGCCCATCATTTTAACACATCTTCCTACTCGCGCATCGTCAACGTTTATCAAGCAATTGCTGTATTTATATTAACTCACTCAGCAGGTTACCGTGATGATTTACAAAAAAGTACACGTATACCAAATCTTATTGTATCATTTATACGACAGAACATTTTACATATGAAGACAGATTGCTTGATTAGTTTCTTGGACTGAATGAACATTGAACAACCAGCTCTTTTTTGCTGTTTTCATCATTCGTGCATCAATATATAATATGGAGTAACGTATAAAATAACAACGAAAAAGCATATCTCATGCGGTGCACGATGCAAACACTTATGCGCATATTATTTGACATGATTATTTCGCACATTTAACTGGTTTCTTTTTGGTTCGTTGCGCACTATCTCTCTCACATATACACACACACACACACACTGTTCAAAGTGTGTGTGTGTTGGCGTTTGAACACATTTTGACATTTCGATTGTGCGCGATCGAGATTGCAATTTTTGAACTTGCACTCGTGTGTTTTAACATATGTTATGATTTATCAACGGTTCATCGTGTATCAAACAGTACTGTTGTGTGTCTTTTGTCCGTATTTCTTTCAACGGCTTATTCGTTCCAATGACGTGTTGAGGTGTAAATCACTGACACTGAATGCCATTTTCAAGGGAATTTAAATCGAAATCAAAACAAAAAAAAACACACGTTCAACTCGGTGTGCATCATTTGTTTATGATTTGTTTGAATTGAAATAATTGTTTTATGTTTTGGATGTTATTGTTCTTGTTGTTGTTTTTCGTTTTACAGATTTGACACCAATAAATCAACCAAAGGCGCATCCAAGCTGCGACGCGATCTAATTAACACGGAGATAGCAAATTTACGTGATTTATTACCGTTGCCGCAATCGACAAGACAACGTCTGTCACAACTACAACTGATGGCACTGGTCTGTGTCTACGTGCGAAAAGCCAATTACTTCCAACAAGGTAACGTATCTTCTTTAATATGCACGAGATATCATGTTTGCAAATAAATCTTTATACGGAATGCTTTACATTACCGTTTTCGACCATTTTCCATTCGATTCTGTATCAATATATTTCATCTTCATTTTATTCAAAAGAACGAAAAACTAAAAATTATGAACACGAATAAATATTTCGTTTATACGCTTCTCTTCCGAAAAAATGCAATTAGAAATGCAACACTTTAGATAAAGTGTACATTTTACGCCCATTTCGCTCTAATTTATCTCTTATTTATCGGCTGAAGCGCATCATTTTGTGTGCACTCTCTCCCTTCATTTTTCCTGTACACACATTTTCACACTTCGAAGCAACGAGGTTCCGTTGACGTTGTTTGCTGTTTTTATTTATCTCAAGTGTCTATTTGAAATTATTTTTACACATCTAATTGTATCGATACATTGGTTAAACGAACGCAAAAAAATGCATTTTGCAAAATGACCCGAACCAATCGATTCACTAATAAATGAAAATTTGCAACCAACAATAAAAACAACAACAACAACCGCAAAAGTGTTTGCACGCGAAAGCAGTGCAATAATTTACTTCTATCAATATCTCTTGAGTATTTGCTTTTGCAGCAAGTATTTGTTGGTGGCAACAGCGGCTGAGGCGACAACGGTGGTGGTTGTGTACTGAGCTCAAGAGTGAGAGAATCGACGCGTTTAATACTCGGTGCCAAATGTTAAGGAGCACACGAAGCCATTGTGTACGAACCGACACAATAATCCAACACTGGTTCGTCTCTAATCGGACCAATCCATCTTCATTTGACTACGAAACGAAAACAACGCGTCGCAACAAATGAACAAGAGAAAATAAAAGCAACACATTACATAAATGCATGCTTATTATTATTATTCTTGTAATCGGACAAGCAATGCAGATCGTTTGTTTGTTTCATTTGGTTCAACAGAGGAATTGAACGGTTATTGCTTATGGATGTGAATCGAAATAATAAACAGCAACACTCTGCCCGTTGAACAGGAGAAACAAAAAAATCATTGCATGAATGTTTATAACCCGATTGCACTAATTGTTTAAAAACGGATCGAGTACTTTCCATTAGCACAATGTGTTTAAAATTCGCACGTGTTTTTGCACACAGTCGGACAAGATGCCTTGACTCGCGTATCATTTAAATTGAACCGCATCGTTGTTTCACATGCAAAGTGATAAACGAAAAAAACGGGATTCTTTTTTCTCTTTCTCTACATGCTGCAACGCATTACAAAATTGCAACAGTTACTGTTGAACAGTAATATGTGCGTGTTACTCATAAGCGCGCACAAAAAAAACAGACTGTCTGCACAACCAAACGAGGCAATATTAAATTGAACGAACTGTGAATGTATGTTTCACAGCCAACCAAGTTATCGAGCAATTAGATATCATTTTGGACAGAACGTTTTACGAGTATTTTTATTCGGTAAAATTAGAAGAGAGTTCAACCGTAGATCATGTGATGTGCTTACAATACATTTACTCATTTCGCTAAGGAAGTCGATACATGTACTCTTTTTCGACGCAAACATTTTACATAGGCTGATAATTTGTATTTATCGCTACATAGAATAGGCGCGCTTTCGATAGAGTTCATCCGATGTTTTCTCTATTCTGATATGAACAAGTAATTCAATAGTCTTGACATCATTTTTCGAAACAGTTGAAGTAAATTATAGCTTTGTTTCAATTAATAATTGTTTTCCACATTCAAATATTGCGTTCAATATGGATAATTGCTTTAAATCCAACATAGATTCAATAATGTTCGACGGCAAATCATATCGATCTGAACAAAATTTCGATTTGTAATTTAAATTCCTCGAAAATATCATGCTCGTTTGCTGTTGATTTTTTTATTCGGCAAACATTCCATTCTCATTTCGATAGTTCACTCATTCAATTGATGTGGAACTGGAACAAACCACAAAAATGCAATACAATGAAAGAACTCACCTGAAACCTGTGAACTAAAACCTGAAACTCGAAAATGGAAATAAACAAAAAACACAAAAGAATCAATTAAATTGTGAATACACAGAAAACAAAACAAATGGTTATCTAAATATAAATTTCTTTGTTCGCGATTGCGCATTAAATTGAATATAAACGAATTAGGAAATAAAAATTGAGCCAATGGGCGCAGATAAAATAGCGAGCTTGAATCAAAAAAAGAAGAATACAGCTAAATGTAGATTAGATTATTTTTTGGATCGAAAGAACCATGGAAAATAGTACAGAGTCATCATTATCAATTAATCGGAACACACCCATTCGCGCATTTTGATTGAGATCGAATGATGTGCGAGCATAGCATTGGCCCCATAAACCATCCAAAGAACGTTTATTAGAAACGAAGCATTTTCTTGGCTATTCAAACGATTTAACGCATTTCTCCTGCTGCTCAATGAATCCATTTAAATTCACTCATTCCGTTTTATTCATTCTTCCTCTCTCTCTCTCTCTCTCTCTCTCTCTCTCTCTCTTGCTCATTTCAATTGTGTGCAATGATGTCGACATAATTGTAAGTGATTCAAGCTCAAGACAAGATAAACACATAATTTCCATATTATTTGTAGTTTTTGTTTCATACATCGCCTGGAATTAAGTGGAAAATAAACTGAAACAAAACGAGAAGAGAAAAGGAGAAAAAAATCTTGACAAATTTATGCGTGTAAGAGAAATTGCCATGTGTAAAACCCAATGTTATTATTATGTAAACTAAATTCATAATTCGTTGCTTTCGATGGATGAGCAAGTTCATTGTAATGGAATATATTGAATGAGAGCTTACTCATTCCACTTTTTATGACATAGCAGTTTATCTTGATAGCTTTCATCTTTCAATTTGATATTAAATACTTTTTTCTTTATTGCAGTGTTCAAACGCTACGAACTCACAATGCACCATGTGCCAACGCCAAATATAGGATTCTCCAAAGTAAGTTAATGAAACAAGTATATTTTTTAAACAATTTTCGATGTCCTTGAAAATCAAGTAAAAATTGAATAACTTCTATAAAAAATATGTCACGAAATGTTAAGGATGCTAAGGATACTTCGAATGAAATAGATTTGATTTTTCGTCGCAGAAATGGCAATTTTGACGCGTGTCTCGTAATAATCAAAGTATTTACTGATGTAGATCGCTTTGAAGCACTACATTTTGGTTATGTATGTGTGTGTGTCGCTTATAATGATTGATTTGCATGTTGAACATCGTTTCGAGCATTTATAATTCTTCTGTACCTCCTACGAATTATAGCTCAACGTAGCCGTAACATAGAAAAGAAACAAAAACACAAATCTTGTGAACGAAACGGTATTAAAAGGTAATTCAAGCTACACAAACTGAAACATCTAGAATATGAGAAAAAAAAAGCGAATGGTCTATGAACACGAAAGAAACAGTATACTCGGGATCTGAAGTACTGTGATGCGATTTTTGTGCTTATATGAGAGAGAATCTAGAGTGCACACCTAAAACTTTAATTACGTTTAATAGCAATTCAAAGTTTGAATTAGATCTCGATGCGGTTTCTTATTGTAATGTTCAGTACTCAATTCAGTTAAATTGTCTTCTTTTAATATTGTATCCATGCGCGTCGGAAATGAGTGTGCAAAGCATTGAGAGTATTTAGCGTGTGGTCCATAATGCGAACAACTAACCGAAGAAAATCGAAATTGTGATAAACCAAATTTAGAGGAAAAAAATATGTATTCGATGGATATTTTCAAACAAAAAAGTGATTAGTGTGTGTTTTTACTTGGAGCGAAAGAGTCAACATATGACTCGTCGCGTTGTTGTTGACTTTTGGATGCTTCAAATCAAAAGTAATTAACCCAGTAACGTGTTCTTCTCATAAAATTCAAATCACATTGAGGTTTTGACTGGAGGCCACAAAACCACAAAATTTCCATCAAATTATCATTTCGAAAGATTGCCGTTTGAAAAATTGAGGATATTCAAATAGCTTGTTCCGAACCGTAAAATACCGAAAAAATTAAGTATAGAATAACGCAGAATCATTTTTGTTTTTGTGTATCGATCGAAATGTGGACATTTTCGTAATGAATACCGTAATTATGGTGCATTTTCATAATGAAACTTTCAATTTGTGTTTTATTTTTCGGTGATCTCTGATTTTCGGACCACATATTACGGTTTTGTATTTTTCCAGATATGGTTTGAACTGTGGGTCTGATTTTATTGGTCCATTGTAATTGTATTTTTGCTTTCTTCTTGAAAACAGTTTTTGGTTGGCTTTGAAGCATTTCTGTGCGTTTTCAACATCACTTCCAATCGCATGGCCGTAACAAACAACTGTACAGTGTACATATAATGCAATCATTAACCAAATTTGGCACATATGAATGACGCGCATTTTATGTGCTACATGTACAATTGTACAGTGTACACGGAATTGTTGTTATGGCTGTTGCTTCGTTTTGCGATGATTAATATCGCAATGACGAAATTGACTAGATCCTTATAAGAAGCTTCGACAATATCGTCATTGTTGTTGTCTGATCCATGCCGTTCGATTTCAATTGCATTTATTGTGCAGTGTTTCGTTCAATTGGCGATTCTATCGTTTAATTTGTAAACAATGGCACATTGAGACTCCATGAATTTATAACACGTTGAGTCATTTTCAAACCAAGTTAATTCGAATGTAAAAATTCAAAACTTTTTTTTTTTTTTTTTGCAAACGAAAAGCGAAAATTGTGTTGTCATTCTTTGCACGATGAAATATTATCAACGAAATTCCAAAAAAATTAAACACGATTCCGATTAGTCAAAACAATAAAATATGTTCGCTGTCAATTGCGAATGAAATCGATGACGTGACAGCGATAGATCACTTTTTTCTGCCATCAACAAATGCATTCAAATACAATGAATTTTGAAACCGACCGTTGTTGATTACAAATCATGTAAAATTCAAGCGAGGAAGTTCTGTTGGTGTAAAAATCTTTTCTTTTTCTTATTGGCCCATTTCTTATCGTTCGCATTTTATCTTCTGAAAAAGACTTTCGACGGGTTAAATGAATACGTATGAACTTGCAACATTCGGATCGTATGCAATCAGTATATCAGAAGAAGAAAAAGAGAAACGCAACGAAAGCAAAGTTGAGCAGAATGAACATTAGCCAAGTTAAACTGTTGAACGCATCGGTATGTTCGCGCACAATGCTGATCCATGCTCAGTTTATAAATTTGAATTAGACTCAATGAAATTGACCCGAATAATAACAATAATAATCACAATAATAATACGCACGCGATCCGTTCGCCAAAAATGTTCTCACGCCTCTTAATACGTTGATTGTGAAATGAAATAGAGGCATTCACACCGTTTGAACAGCAACAACAACGCGCACAAAGACGTACTTATGTAAAAGCAGAATCACATATAAGACAGCTCCAATTCTACTTCATACACATACTAGTATTTTCATCTTCTGCTGTTCAGATTTTTTTCGGTACGTGTGTGCGAGCAAAGTTTGTACTACTCCTAAAAATCCCGACGTTTTGATTTTGAATGTGCATGTGAACGAAAGCGTTTGTGTTTTGGTCGTTTATCGTTTTTTTTTGTGACTGGGGTTAGTTAGTTTGGCTTACTTAAGCAGAAACACACATCTATATGTATTTCACGTGTGCACTACCAAGCTCGACTTTATTATCAGGTTCGGCTCTTGTATTTCTCCTGTTTTTTCCTTCTTCGTTCATTTCAACTCTCGTTTCCAGCCATTTCGATTTATAATGATATAGCATCAGCAGCAAATCAGCAGTAATCTGGCGTTATATTCTAGTGAAAACAAAGCAGCAAAGAGAGTTCAAAAGGAGAGAAAAACGCACAGTGAATATTGTTTATGCCATTTTATGTGCTGTTCACAAATGTGTTCCGTGTGCGCATAATGCCCGAAAACAAACGCATCGAGTGATGATCGATCGTATTGAAATACAGTATAATAATAGCAAACAGCAACAGTAAAAGCCACAAAGCCCAATCGCAAGTTAATTCACCGTGCGTTCTTGCGAAATCGGCTGCTTTCAGGCAATTTACAATTATGCAAAAATTCCAAATATGCACATATTCACTACACATGATTATTGAAAATTGTGTAACCGAAACGCATACTCATTTCACTCTTCAAATCCATATGATTTTTACAATTCATCACGCAAAATAACATCAAAGATACTAAAAAAAATCTTTCTTCTTGCCTGTTAAAACCCGTAAACACTATATCACAGTGCAACTTCGGTTACCTCATACAAGTATAAGGCCGACAGTTTGCACTTCATAGCTATAGTACCGAAGTATCTAAGTATATATCACCATAGACCCATGGTGCATAGTATGCTACAACCCAAGTCAGTATAATACGCTTTTCGAAGAGTGTACACGCTCTTCTCACACTCTTCGTATAGTTTTATTCGACTCCCTTCTCACACTCTTCTCACATAAAACACGTTTATTGCTCAGTAGCTTCAATTTTTTTCTCTAAAAAATTTTCTTTTTTTTCCTTTATAATAAATTTTTCCACTGATGGATAGTTTTTGATTTTGTTTATTTTTGAAATTTTGAAAAAAATGAACGTATACAAAAAAAAAATGAATTTGTAGTTCTGTTGTATTTTGACACAGCTGATGAATGCTATAAACGTCAAAAACGTTCAAATATCAAAATACAAACATTACTTCCACTAGAATGCAGTGACAGCAGTCATAGCATTACCAATACCATTACACACTCTCTTCCCACTCAATATACGTGTTTTATGCAAAAGTGTTTTATGCAAAATCGTAAACAGAACAAAATAATTACGATAAGTTAAATAATCACCGAATGATTCTTTTAATTTTAAATCATTTTTTTTATTTTTCCAATTTGCCAAATAGCCGTTTTATATGCATACATATTGATTTTGAACCTTTTGTCAATTCAAATGAAGGTTAAAATATCCTTTCTTCCATACGATTTTGATTTTCATCTTTTCGCGATCTAACGAAAAGATGTTTAGATATCGTTATTATTTCTAGATAGATATTAGATTAGATGGCCAAATTTTGAACTATCTAGATGAGATGTTTAGATACCATCTTATCTATCTTATCTGAGTATCTAAAAATAGATTGTCATCTAAATCAAACTCTGACGACTTGAAAACATAATATGTTAAAACTTAAATGTTGAAAGTCGAAGTTTAGCGAATTATAAAATTTTGCAAAATGAAAAACGCATCATACGAAAACGAAGGTAAGAGCGAATGAAACCACTTCATATAAAACACATCATTCAATCTCACTCCAAGCGGCGAAAAAAACATGCAAATATACGGCACGCGCTAAGTATGTGTTAGTGCATTCATTGATTTTTCATATAGAGTCCTTTCATTCGCTCTTCTTCGAGAATATTCGCTGTCTTTTCATGTGTTTTTCATTGTGCAAAATTTTATAATGGAATATATGACTTTCAAAAATTAAGTTAAAGAATATGAAAAAAACATGTGTCTCAATTGAATAAAAAAAACGTTAAAAAAAATTCGCACGGAATCGAATATTTGACATCACTAGAGATTAAACGGATCGGCTTGACGTTGAATGGTTTGTGTGTGTGTGTGTGTGTTTTCTTCTTGCCGATCTTTCTTATAGCAGATCTTGTTCCACCTGGCCATCATTCCGTTTAATAAGCTTGTTAAACTATCCTTTTTAAACTATATTTTTTGGTGAAATGGAGAGAAAATATCAATATTTTCAATGTTTATTGAAATTTTGAAAAGTTGAGTAAAAACAAAAACGAACCAAATGCGTTTTACATGCAAATCAACACATGGCAAACAAACATTGCAACGTCAATTTTGATCGTTCGCAATTTTAATACAATTTCCATGTGACTGACGTTTCTTTCATCATGTTTATTTAAGTAAAAATAAATTCGATTTAATGCAGTGTAGCATTAATTTTAAATTTCAATCCATATATTGTTTTAAAATGAGGAACGTGAAAACCTTTTTTGACAAAGCGCAAAAATATTTTTTCCCATTCGAACGTGACACGGCCAAATCAAATACATAAACAGAATTTAAATAACAGAGAAATTGAAAAGTCTCACCCAAAAGCATTAAGCATTTGTGTCAACAACTTTGATTCAGTTTGACGTTTCATTCAGCGGGAAAAGTTTAGCCGATTTTCGGATTTGGCCATGGCAACACCAATATGCGTAAAACTGTGCGTGAACATTTTCTCACATGGCTTATCGCAGATGATATATCGTTGTCACCCTGATTGTTTTACTTTTTAATCGTTAATTCAATGGCATTTCACATTAAATTATTACATTTACGATTTTACAGGCAATGTCTGGATTTTTAATGATGCTAACGCAAAATGGAAAACTACTCTATATCTCAGACAATGCAGCCGAATATTTGGGACATTCGATGGTAAGTACCAGTTTATTACATGAATTATTTCCGATTACATGGCCGATTTTTCGTTAAATGAAAGACATTTCAATGATATTTAAACGAAAGATTTTTCATATGATTCGAAAGTATCACAAAATAAATCAGAATCTCTTTAATAACACATAAATTTATATTAATGGAAAATATAGAGAAAGAGTTTGAATCGAAAAGTGTTTAAAATGATTTATGCGATTTGAAATCGCCAGAAGGTTTCTTCACGGATTGTCAAACAATTCTAGAAAACGAATCTATCGATTGATACTATTCAAGGTGCACTTGGTACACGACAAAAAAAAAAGAAGTAAATTGTACATTTTGCATGTTAAACGTTAGCTAATCGTCTTTTGGAAACCAATGATCGCTATTAGTTATTTATACGAATAAAACTGAACACGTTGTAGTGATTCAGTCACTAAATTTGTTTGGATTTGGAACGCTCACTTCAATATTATGCGAAGAATTTTGCGAATAATAAATCAAAGTAATATCGACTGCTTTACACATTCAATGAAGTAATTCTTTCTATTTATATGGCTAACACATTGAGATCTCGAAATGATATCTTAAATTGAAGTTCTCATCATCGTTGTTGAATCCAAGGCGAATGCATAGTCTACGTGCGATTTTTTTTCATCTCTCGACACAATCACATGTGAGCAATAAATAAATATATTACATCGATTTAGATACGTAAACGCTAATTATGATTTATATACTTCGTTGTTTGTGGCTAAAGAAATTCAGTGACTCAGGCGTTTTATACACAATTTAACTCTTGATTAATGAAAATGGTGTACATTCAATTGAAAACTGTGCGGTGGCGCTGAAAAATTGTGTATTGTTGGTGTGAAATATTGGTACGTATACTCGATTAAATCGAAACGATAAGAAGAAAATCTCAATTTCGACTGCCAAACTGAAAAAAAAATCAAAATTGCCGGCTTCTCTTCGTGCTGTGTGAAATGAGCACTGAGGAACCGCACATAAATTGAGAAGTCAGATATAAAAGCAATCAACGCAACACAATTCGATCAATATGCATCTACATTGTTCTGGCATTTGGTGAGTTAAACCGGGAGAGGTTAAAAGGGAAAAAATTAACCACACTTTTCGATTTGTAATACAATGTACATCGATATTAAGTTCAATTACACGCCTATCGATTCAATTAATATCAATAAATCGTTTAATCGCTCGCCTCTCGAGCTCGTTTCGATGATGATTTCGTTTTTCACGTCTCTTTCACGTGTTTTCACGTCTTTACGCACCGTAGATTATGATTGACATGAGAACTCTGAGTCATTCTCTTGTTTTCCATTCCGTTTTTTTTTTGTTATTTTTTTCATTTGCGTTGTTACAATTTTCTCTTCTTTTTTTATACTTTTTTATAACAGGAGGATCTGTTGATTCATGGTGATTCAGTGTATGATATTATTGATAAACAAGATCACGGGTCAATTCAAGCCGAACTAAGTCGCAGTGTACCGCAACAGACAACCAGTTCAGGATCTCATCACCATCATCATAATCATCACCATCATCACAATTCATCATTAAATGCCACCGGTTTGGATGGAGAACACAGAATGTTTCTGTGTAGAATGAATGTTAGCCGAAATGCCCGGCGTCAAATGCGTTTTGGCGATCAAAAGGTGTGTGGTTAGAAAATGTCGTGCAAATCATTGACCACCCGCATTGCACTTAACATTTCATTTGTTGAATCAATGTGTAAATAACTAAAAACAAAATCACATGAAATCCTGTTTTTCAATGCAAATTGATCTGATATCGTTTGGTTTAAAGTTTTGACATGTTCTTACCGCATGAAAATTGAACTACTGTTCAAACAAACGCAATTCAATCCATTTTAAATTTGTATTGACTCCATTGTCACTTCATTTAAAATACCAAGATATGTCGCCCATACGGCAACAACACAATATTGATGTTTAGGTTACTGTTTTAGCTTGTTTCTTGCTTTTCTCTCTACACTGCATATCGAATTCGATTCAAAACAGTAGAAATGTATGAGTCATCGGATGAGCGCCACGAAGGACCACATGCGTATACGTAGCAATTATGAAACACACAAAGTTTGCCATCGGCCAAAACAGTTATATAAATATAAGCAACGACGACGACACATGTTTGGATTTGTAACGATTGTATGCATAAATATACATATATGTGTATACAAGAGAGAGAGGGAGAGAGAGCGCACGCATTGAACGCTCTTACAGACAGTGTGACGGTCTTCGTATATTAGCCGAAGGAGCTTGTGCATTCGAAAATTGAATCGACAACAACATTTTCTTTAATTAACATTAAACTTTTCTACCTCTCGTTTAGCTCGTTCGATTCCATTGTATCATCGCACACTGCCTTCGTCTCACTTCTAAGATTTTCCAATTGTATGCAGAAAGGCAAACACACATCATGTTATTTTTATCTGCCGAGTCTTTGAGTTGCATATTCGTAAAAATGTGTATTACATTGGGTGCAGCGTGAACGGTATATAGAATCAATATGGACGGTATTCTCTGAGAGAGACAAAAATGCGAAAAATCGACACTGATGCTGAAACGAAAACAAGTATCAAGATCAGATAAGCCACGATTAAATTCTTGCATTTGGAGCGTAAAACACACAATGATCGTAGTCGCCCAGAGAAAAAAGCCCAAAAAGAAGTTTCTTTTTTTCATTTGAAGTGCGCGAGCGTACACAAGCTAATAAATTCAAATTGTCGTTTTTTTGCATTGACAAAACAGTGACTAAAACGAAACACTCCAAACCAGTAATGTGCGAGCTACATTTTACAGGGGGGGTGATTTTTCAAAAACTAAAAATTCTCTCATCTGAACAACAAATTTCGTTTTTTTTTTTTTTTGCTCTTCACTTTTTTGGCGAAAATCCCTAGCAAATCGAAAGAATTTTCTCCGCGCAAAACCTCAGGAAATTACAATAAAATCGTTTTTTTTTTTTTTTTTTTTTTGGAAGTCACTTTTTGAGGCGAAAATCCTCAGCAAATCGGAAGAATTTTCTCAGCCAAACAAAGTGAAGAGCTAAAAAAAAAAAAAACACTTTTTTCGTGAAAAACCCTAGCAAATTCAAATAATTTTCGCGAAAATTTTTTTCTCCCCCAAACCACCGGGGGGGGGGTAAACCCCCCCCTACCCCCCTTCGCACATTACTGCTCCAAACAATTCAAATAAGAATGATTCAAATGATTCAACGGAAAGGGAGAACGATAGCGAGTGTGAATGGTTTTTTTTATTTCTGTTTGGTTTATCAATACAAATGCTTGTTTCATGTGTTGCAATCCGGTGATTTTATTCATTTGTTTTTTCACAGTTTGACTGCTCAAACTCTATTCAAGAACTCAATTTACACATGTGTGAAATCAAAAACAAAACCGTAATATATATCATTTGATATAAACCACGTTTGAAAAGTTTGAGTTGGTATTGTCAATGTTTATGTTTGTTTTTTTTCTATGCTTAAATTGATTGCAGGTGGTTTTAATTCAAGGACATTACCTGTCATATTTACCGCTTTGCAGTCGAAACGAACCAGTATTTCTAGCAACATGTACACCAATTGCAATGCCCGAAACACGTGAATGCATCGTACAGGGTGCAACTAATGTATTTACTACAATTCATTCAATGGACATGAAAATTATGCACATGGATAAAAAGTAAGTATTTGAATTCTTTATCGATTTGCGCGAATGAATAATAAGCATTAATTAAAATGTAAGAAGTCAATGAATATATACGGATTGAAGAATTTTTTGAGTGTATAATACACAGTTTTAGCTATGTTAACGCAATTATTCAGAGGTTTTTTTGCGTTTGCTATTTTGACTTTGGTGTTTCATTTCATTCATTAGAATGGAAAAGATTGCATTGACATTAGACAATATAGTGTTTAGACTTTGAGGTGACATTATTGCTTTTTATTCTTTGAGATATTTTATTGTAGTGCTTTTGTTAAATAAATTTTTTTGCATTTGTTTATTTTTTCTGCTGAAGTGGTGAATTTCACATGGGCTATACGAGAAATGAGCTGCAAGGCGTTTCTTGGTATCACCTATTACACTGGGAGAGTATGCGAGAAGCACAAAATAAACATCGGTTAAGTGAGTGTCATTTTATTGCTTTTAACAATATAAAGAATAGATAATGACAATTCTATTGCGTCTATTTAACTTTCGAAACTTTTATGACGATTACTTTTCAATGTTCCATGCATAATTTCGTAATTATTTTAATAATCATTTTTTATGTTTATGTATATGTACGTATTTGTTTTACTAATCTGGCGCTTAAACCATCATCAGTCACACAATCGGAACAAGATCGATCATGTATTCTTTTGGTCCAAATGCAACGTCGTTCGGGTTCATTTGTCTGGTTACATGTTGTATTGCAAGTTCGCGATAGTCAAGATAATAGTCAACAGCCGGTTATTGTCTGCACAAATCAAGTTCTAAGGTAAGTGTTGAATACTTGAACAATTCTATTCAAAAAAGAGATAAAAAAATAAACAAACAGACCATTGCTTAATGCGAAATGATTTATTTTATGCACATAAAATGAGAACTAAAATAAATCAGACAACGGCTCTCGCTATTGAAAAGAAGAAAAGCGACACAGAGAAAAAAAACAGTCTACCTTACCTCTCGTCATTCACGGTGTGTAAGAGCGGATAATTTATGGCATCGACAGACTGCTTTACAAGATTATAACAATAAATATATGAATTGCATAACGACAGCATAATCATTATCAATCTTAATTTTCCACAATACCAAGCATATGAGTCGTAAAGCATCTTGCCAAAACGGTAATAATCTCAAAATAAGACATTGATAAATTCAATGGAAACGAAAGAGTTAGTTAGAGTAAAAGAGATTGAGATTAAAAATCATCTAATCGTATGCTATTCCAACTCATTTAATCGAATGCAAATATCACATAGATTAAAACAAATAAAACCTGCGCGCAGTGCACATGAGAGAGAGTGTGTGTGTGTGTGTGCGCGAGAGATGAAACGGATGATAAACACAACATTATCATTAAATTGTTTATATTCGTAAATCAAAAATATTATTTTTTGTTGGCATAAAATACGCGCGCTCATCAATAACAATAATACTATGCTCATTTCTGCGTACGACACATGAATGCATCATGGCTGGCGGTCGCAACATTGAAACTTCACTTTGGTATTAGATATCGTACATAGTATCTGTGGGAACATAAAATCCAATACATTCTATAAAAGCACACGCAATTCTTTGCATTTTCTCTCCCTCTCTCTACCTCAGTAGAACGCACACACAAATTTTATCTGTGTCAAATCCAACGCCGTACAGAAAATAAATTACTGAACATTAAAGAGCACATATAATCGGTACAGTTCCGAATTCTTAACTAAAAGACTTGATCATTTCTCAAACAGCGTCACACACTGATTTATGGTTGGAAAACAAGTTTGGGAATTTATGTGATATGCACGTGATGTGTAAATAGATATTTTTTTAAAATTTTTGGTTTCGATCATTTCGTTCATTTTACAAATAGCGATCGTGAAGCAACGGTGATGTATGCAAACTCGTGGCTTTATCATTATTATACGGTTCAATCGAAAATTCAATTTGGAATTCCATACGAAGGACCGGCGAGAGTGCAAGCAAACAACGATTCGTATTTACAACAGCAGCAGCAACAACAACAACAACCGCAACATGACGAACAAAATGAGCTAGAAAATCATGCACACCACCATCTTCATCACCATCATCATCACAGTTTCCATCATTATTCGCCGAATTCATTGCAAACACCGTTAACGCATTCCTATTTGACGCATTCACATCATATGTCATCGTACGGTTATCATTCGCCAGTTGCACAGCATCAAAGTTCACCGGGTCTCGTAAATCACTATGGAAATAGTACACCTCACATAAGTTATCATGGTTCGAATGAAGGCTATCGCCCGTACGCTTATCGCATTGATCCAAATCTGCCAGTTGATTACAGTGGACAAGTAAGCCCGATGACAAATCAAAATACCAGTCCAAGCAATGGTAGAGAAAAATCGACAAATCAATCGAATTCCGATTTAGGATCACCACCAGCCAAACGAAGAGCAGTAAATAGACTTGAGCCATTGTATATACCAGAACAAGATACATCATCTGATGAAACCGTACACTCTGAACTCTATCAGACAACGACAGGTGATGGTGGTACTGTTTTGCTTACAACCGTTCATCCGGGTCGATATTCACACACGCATATTAAATCGATTTCGAATGAAGCCACTGATTTAATTGATCAGTGGAATCCATCACCACCTTGGTCGGAAACTACACAAAAGGTTCCCGACATAGCACAACAGGAATTATGTTATTTATCTCGAACTCCACCAACACCAACAAGTGTACCATTGACATCAGTAAATGGAGTTGCCTTTTCATTTGACTGGATGCCAGAGCAATTCGTTCCGATTGTCGATCCAACGCACAACAACAATAATAATCACACCGTTCCAAATGGTTTATTACACGCACATTCAGTGATAAATGGCTTACCAATCGCTTCAGCCCCCCTATCAACGTCACCGAATGAACATAAATGTTATAACCTGGATCGATCTCCCGATAATAATATATCCAGTGGTAAGTAGTTTTATTATTTTTTCAATGACATAATATATCTTTTACACTAAACACACGAGAATAAATGGTGTTTGCATAAAATTTACTTGCAGAAATTCAAGAAGACCGTCAATCTCGCTAGAGAGCATGTTTGCATTTTAAATTTCACTTTTTCTTCTTCCAAATCGAATCATTTTCTATTAAGAGTTTTCGTGCAATGTTCATTACGCACCGTCGTGAACAAAATTTTACATTTTTTTACTAGTTGACACATAAGGCTAAGACATCAGATCTATTTAAATTAGAAAATTGTAATCGAAAATTAAGTTTTCTTTCTCTAAAATAAGAAATACAATTTCACATTTGAAAAGTATTTCAGTATTTCAAGGTCATGAAATGATAATTTGCGCATACTTCTAGTTGAAAATAAAAGAAACTTCCTATTTATTTATTGTATAGTAGCTTCAATTTAGATTTTGTATTTCATTTTGTGAAATGTTTAGTGTATAATTTTGATTAAACAAATAAAAATTGTACATTTTTATAAACATTGAACCGAGTGGAACGAGGCTTTGAAAATCTTAGTTTCATACTTTTTTTACAAACGGGAATGTCCCACGATGAAAATGAAAAGCATCACTATATCTAGTTTTTAATGAACTTCCTAAATAAATATAGATAAAAATTAGGTTATTTGTATTTTCTATTTATCAATTCACAAGGCATTATTGAATATTAGAAAAAAATTGTAACTGATTGAGTGAAACTTAAAATAAACTGAATCTGTTTGTAGAAAACATGAAAAATACAGTCTTTTTTTTCGCTTTTTCTTTTCAATGTTTGAAATGGTGAGTCTTTTTGGGCGCTAGAACAAGAAATGAAAAATGTGAGTATTTTGCAAGAAAAATGTAAAAAAACCCTTTATCCTATCATATTTGAACATATATTGACAGACATTCAGGCGATAATCTTCCTCGTTCAAAGCATTGAAGCTGTTTATTCAATTTGTATGATCTTATCTCTTCTGTCTGTGGTCAGTGCATCAAGCGAGCATTTGTGAATTTCAATTGTTGTGAATGAATTTAATATGCAACGTTGACCTTACAAAGAGTCAACTATTTGAAAGGTTGTTTAAGACTGACACATTCCGTCGAATATTTAAAATTTGAAATACGCCTGCTGTGTTAGCGCTCAACATCGCATTGCTGTTATCATGTTCAGTTGTTGATTGAGTATATGTGAATTAGCTGTTTTTCTGAAAGATAATAACACTGACTAGTTAACATAATTCGCCTCTTTTTGTTTTATTTGAATCATGAATGGATCTCGACAGTTTTCAAAACTGAAAATAGAAAAAAAAACGATACCTTTGTTTTTCTTCCATTTCAAATTTTTAATCACACTTTCCCGCCATGTTGTGTGTTGCATCGTCTTCGTTCAATTTTTCCGAATGCGTAATTCGCTATTTTTTTCTTTAGAAAGCAGCGCAACGGACAGCCAATTAAGTGGAATACAATTACATTTTATTAGTTAAATGTTATCAGAGAGTCATTTGAAATGAGACAGCTGCCTGTCAACACATTGAATACAACGACGACAACGACAACCACAGCAGCAAAGATTGAATGTGTGTCAATTTGTAAAGTTTTTTTTCTTCTGAAAATTGCGGCAACTGTGATTCATTCATTTTCAATTTATGTGTATTTATCGAGTGAGACCCTTCATCGGTCGTTGTCAGATATAACAGCAGCTGTGGAACAGCATTGAACTCTAAGCCAAAAATGGCACGGAATCAGTATACGATTTTCTCATCATTGTAGCAATCTCGCACAATTGGCTGTTTCATAAACTTGCCCATGATTATTAGAAAATGCAACAAGCAAAATAAGCATGAAAAAAACGCCAAATGTCGATGTTTATTTATATTGGATGTCATTAATACGTATGTATTGCAAATCCATGTCATGTATAAAATGCTAATGATAATCAATTGAATGTAAAAAAAAATACTGTACGTCCGCTGTGCGCAATACGATCACCGCACTGTGCGCAAACGTATGGTAATGAGCTAAACAAAACATGAATATTTTGCAAACCATATTTATTGAAAAGAATATATTGCAAATTTATGCGCACAAAGTGCAAAAGGCTGTACGCTAGGCTGTACGTTCCTTGCCTTTAATTTTCAATTAAATAAATTATTTTAACTGCAACTTAACATCGGCATCGGGCCGTTTAAGTGATTTTATTTGTTTGTATTAATTAATTTTTTTCACTTAAGAAAAAAATCACTCACATAAGCGGTTTATAAAATGGGCACTTTGAATTTATCATCTGTAAATCAGAATTTATGTATCTCGACCCGACGGAACATATCGTTTTTTCTCTTTCAAATCATTGAAAATGTGACAAAATTGAAAGTATATTTTTTTTAGTTTATATTGTAAAACCGGGAGATTGTTATATATTTGTTCTCCGATTTTTCAATGTAATTTGCCTATATGGTCATGTGAATACAAGCAGCCCAAATGATTGGCTCATACACAGCACCTATAAATTTAAGCTTGAGGGTTTGTCAGTACATGAATTTGTTTAAATTTGGTCAAAATGTGGTTTCATTTAATGTCAATTAAGAGGTATGAAAATTTGTGACTTGATGTGTACACATGTGCGTTGGCGTTTAATTATTTTCTATTAAAATTGGACACTCACAGTTAAAACATTGCTCAACGTTAAATAATGTTTTATTACCATTTTTGGTATCATTTCTCAAAAGAATTCGGTTTCCCGAATTTGGTAATGAATGACACTAGTAATGAGACTTTACCAAGTAAATTTGTTGCACGAAACTGTTCGGATTCGGATTTGCATGCAAAAGTGTAAAAAATAAATCACATAATTGATATTTCATCCATATCCGTATGGGTATTGCATTTAAATTTAAGTTGGTGATCAGAGCTAAAAGCTATTTATATATGTTGATGTTAGGTGTCAGTCGGTTTTTATTGTATTGACAATTGATTTGATGTTGATCAATCTTATGATTTATTCAAAATGCTTGAGTCATCCGAACTCAATTGTTCTTTTTTAATTGACAGTTTTTCTTTACACACAGAAACAAATATCCGAGTACGGTTACTCGCACTTGCGGTGTTAGCAGAGAGTCTACCCTTCAAAATGAGTTAAGCACTCTATTTTACTCTATTTTTAGTGTTAATTTCATTCAAGTGAACACATCATAGTGAAAGAAGGAATACACGTGTAGTCATAGCCGCATGCATTCAACGTACATATGACTACACATGTATCTCTTTTTTCACTACGATGCGTTCACTTGGATGAAATTAACACAAAAAATAGAGCAACATAGAGTCAGTAACTCATTTTGAAGGGTAGACTCTCTGCTAACACTGCAAGTACGAGTAACCGTACTCGGATATTTGTTTCTGTGCAAAGACCAGTTTATGCATCATCCTTATAAATGTCGATTGATTCATCTATTTAATTCAAATTTTATAAATAGCTAGTTTAAATGTGAAACGGCTTGCCTGGGCTTGCCTATCGTATATACATTGATGCATCTACAATATGGACAGTGGACACACTATAAGCAATTCAAAAGAATTATTATTACTGCACATTAGTCATAGTAATGTAAAGTTATCAAAAGCATTGATCAAAGGTATGCAACGCGCTCTCGATCGCCTCAATCGTCTTAATTTTGCTTGATTCATTCCACAATATACACATAAAGAATAAGCAAATTGATTTAAATCTCTGTTAACATATAGCAAATGTGAATTTATCTTGCTTAACTTACTTGCATTTGCACCAATCTGAAAATCGCTAATGATATGCGGCACACACTTATTTTATCGATGTAAATCAATTAATAAACATTATTCTAGTGGTGTTGAATATTTAGCTGTTTCCCTGTACATATTGCATAACTGTAGTCGGTGTGACACAAGATCATTGTAGTTCAGCCAGGAACACAACTGTACTGTTTATTCTCTTCATTTTGGCCATGTAAAATACCAAAGATACTAAAATGGGGAATAGTATGTATAGAATGTGTGGCATACTTTTAACCCAATGGCTATAAATAAATTTATGGTTGGTCACATGCTACAGATGTTATAATTATCATGTACTGCTTTCTCTTTGTTCTGTGCTCTGTGGCTGTATGTTATTTACCATATACTTACTCTATGAGCGTAAACATAAATTTTCACTGCTCAGTTTGAATTTTATTACATGAAAATTCATCTCCAGGTATACATTTTCTTATGAATTATTAATGTGATTGCTGTTTGTTTATCTTTCGAATTCCAGCCCATTCGTTCAATCTAAGAAACATTATATCATCGAAGCACTAAATTTTCGTCAAAACTGAAACATTATGAGAATTTCCAAAGATAAACGCCATCAGCGAATTTACCATAAAAATAAATTTTTATGAAAATCAAATCATAAACTTCAGTCGAATTTTATTGATAAAGAGTGTAGCCACACCGAGTAGTAAATCACCGAGCTTAATGAAGATAACGTTTCAAATTGCTTTCTGTTATATTTGATTATTTCACTTATTGTTTCTTTACGTTTTCAAAACGTTTCAAAACATGCAACGGACTTTCGTATCATTTTTACGGGGAAAATTTATCAACTCATATTTCATATTTTTAACCAGATTTTGTTGCGTTTACCATTTTTCCCAAGCATTCACAGAAAAAAAGGCTATGCAATAAATAAAATTGTTTAAATAGACATGATGGCGCGCGCATCCAAATCCACAATATAAAAAAGCACATCCATTCAGTAAGATCGAAATTTTTGATAAAAACATTTTATTTGAAGGCTTGCCTATTTAGCAGAATCTGAACTATTGGTGTAAATGCGCGGTTTAAAGAGACATCATCTGATTAAAACGTACAGCACTGGGGTAATAAATAATGGCTTATTAAACGAACAAATAGAATTTAAAACAAAAAGAAATGCGCACACCTTATAGAGAAAAATTAAATATCTTAAATTGCTAATTATATCGGCATTTAGAGATGTTCTTCTTCACTTACAAGTGCGAAACAAAGCTCGAGTCACACCTCATTTTTCATTATCTTATACCGAAACTCAACATCCATGCTATTTTACCATCGTTTTTATGGTTATTGGTCGAATTATTTTTATTCAGCTCATTTATCTTTCCGAACGAATCGTTTCCGAATCAAAACTACATTTAATAATCTGTTTCTAAAACCACAATATTTTATATTTATAGAAAGAACTAGTAGAACGAAATTACTATTCTTAAATCAAATTCGGAGCAGTGTGAATATTTTCAAGGACATGTACTTTGAACGTCTCGTTCACTTTGTTCGCACAGTTTGATTTTACTGTGGCTTTTTATAACCGGTATCTGGTGTGGTATGATTTGCATTAGAAGTTCTTATGTGGGGAATGAAAATGTCATCCGCAAAGTCTTGAGATTTACATGGTATTGATCTGAAACATATTCAATTAAATTAATTTTTACATAATAACACTTTTTCATTTTCAACATACTGAAAAAATGTCACAAGGAACAAATAGAATCTGGGCACAGTGCAATATCTTTCACCACTACGTAGTGCCCGTACAGTTTCTGCTGCTACATATTCTGGTGTAAGCAGACCAAATCTCTCCAAACTAGTTGCCCTTCAAATTAAAAACAAATACCAACTTAAGTGATCAAAGCAAGAAAAATTTGTAAAATAAATATAGGTCAAAATGCTTTAATTTACATACGTAAGTTTCTCTTCCAAAGAATTTATGAATTCTTTGCGTATAATCAAAATCATTTTAAGACGAAAAGAAAAATATTTGAAAATGTATACCCAAAAATGACTTAACACTCATTACACGTCGAATATCGCTTGCATCACCATCTTGGAATGAATTTTTTGGTATTAAACCGGCATTATTCACTATAATATCAACAATACCCAAATCAGCGTTAATTTGCTTTTTTACATTCTCCAGTTCGTTATAACTAGTAACATCGACCTGCATTTGGAAAATAAAATCCATTTACTAAATACGTAAAAAAATTTAATGATGGGCATTTTGCTGTACTTGGTATCCTTTTGCATTTACTCCCAAACGCTTTAGTTCAGTACATAATTCTTCTGTAGCTTGAAGATCAACATCTAAACATGCTATATTACAACCACAACGTGCCAAATCCATACAAATCGCTCGTCCGATCCCATTGCCATTTGCCACCGCCCGTTACCTACGTTTATTTTATATGAATTCAATTGTATAATATATGTAATGTACAGCCGCGGCGTATGGTACTTACTACAGCCAACTTTCCTCGAATCTCTTTCAATGTATTTGGCACAATTAAATGGAAAATAGCAAGTAACAAATAATACAGTTCCACCAGAACAACAAGTAAACTTTTTAACACTAAAACGGGCAATTTGGCTCTGATATTCGGGGATAAATTTAATTTTCAAATCTCATGAATTCATATTTAAATTAATTTGTTGAACGTCTAGTTTGTTTAATTTGTTTTATTCATTCACATGTTTTTAAAAACAGGATTCAAATCTCACTTTTTAACTGATTATACACACTTTCCATTAAAAGTAAATTAATTTATAAATTTGATGTATGGTATTGATTATAATTTAAGAAATTCAAGATTCTTTAAACAAAATGATAAATAAAAACCTAAGAGACAACGAGTGCTTGAGTTGATCACTGCAGCAATTCAATTCAACTGAAAGATAAGCAAAACATATTGGTGCAATAAGCGACGACGTTTTTATACTCCGCCAGATGAAATACACTGCCAGTTTTTGGCCGTAGAGCTTAATGTGAAACGTGGAACCGTACTATTAATATTTTGAATTTTTGAGTGAAGAGTTACAATTTTTTTAAAATTAATTACACCTTGAAAATTGACTTTGCCAATATTTTCCTCACATTGCCTCAACGGCTACCTATGCACTGCCACTTCAAAAAGTTGGTTAACCCTATAATTTATATACCATTCAAAAGGTAATTTTATGGAGATTCTAAAACAATTTTTATCTTCACGTAACTGCAACTTATCTTCAATAAATTTCCCCTTGAAAGTTGACTTTGCCAATATTTTCACTAATTTGGCCTCAAACGGCCACCTGGGAAACACATTCACAAGTTCGATTGGCTAATAACCTATATACCGTTGGAAAGAGGGCTTCAAGAGCTATCATCTGGCAAAGTTTCATCAAAATCATAGAACTAGGTTGCTTGCAATAAGATTCGGAAGCCGATTTTTCTCACAATTTTTCATATTTCGGCCAAACGGCCAGCGTAAAACGCCAGCAAACATGCCGGAAACTCCATAATTTATATACCATTCGAAAGGTAATTTTATAAGGAATCTAAAACAATTTGGTACCTCGGGTGTCTCCAACTTTTTTTCAACAAGTTTCATCTAGATCCAAAGTCATCAAATTAACACTGAAGTAAAACTCATTTATTCCATCTTTTATCCAACAAATGAAGTTACGGATAAACGTCAATCCACCCGAATCCATTTGTGATCCACTCAATAAATGGTGAGTGGAATCGAAATATTTTTCAAAGTGGAATCCAAAAAAGAGGGTCCATGAATGAAAAAATTAAATGGGGAGCACTTATGGGGAAAATAAAAAATACGTCTGGAGGGTTTTTCATGCCCTATCGAATGTCGAAAACCCGAACTCTCTATCTTTTCTGGTTTTCTCTAAAATCACTGAACAAACATATATATATATATATATCTTACTATTCCATAGCTTAATGTATAAAACTACGTTTCACATTAAGCAAAAGTCAAAGCTTTGAGCATACTTCAACTTGAAGTGCAAAAGTCAAAATTAAATATAAAAAACGTATTAATTAATAAAGAAACAGGTTAAGTTTCTTTTGTAAAATACGTACATGCATTTTTTTTATCAACCCACTTTACTAAAACTTCGGAACTCAACGAAAAATATAAGTACTGCTTCATTCACATACAACGTAAAACAAAATAACATATTACAGATTAATTGTATTAATATTTATAAATAAAAATCTTTTTTGGTATTGTTTTGATTAAGTATCGAATTGTGTCGGCATAACATATATTTTCACCATACACCAGATACTTTGAAAGACATTTATTTACTTTTATGACGCGTCATCAAAAATTATCATTTCGAAACCTGTTCAATCAATATATTTTATTTCAATGCCTTATATTCATCGATAATTCTATGTGAATGATCGCTCATTTAAAATACATGCTGTTGTGTAAACGTAGAAGTTCCGAAGTTTATATATAGGTCCAATCAAAGGTTATAATCTTTGACAACGGATTGCAGCATAATTACTATATAATCTAATGAGTATAATTCGGTATAATTGCAAGCATTGACGAGTGGTCCAGAGACAACGAATTGTTTTAAACTCATTCAATGTGCATCACTAAAAATGATATTTGAAAAAATATAAACCAACCATTTGTTGATATTGTAAAACTCGATATGATTACAGAAGCATACATTACAAACCATATGTGGGCAAGGTCAAAGTTTCTTCGAAGGTACCAAAAGATTGGTCCTGCCACATTTTTCCAGAAGGGGAAAACTAGAAAGCCCCCTTCTCATGTATCAAATCACATTTTTAAAGCTTTGAGCAAAGAAAAAACATTAAATAAAATCAAAGTAATTCAAAAAATTATTAAAAACAACGATCATCATACAATCAAATTATTTTTTATTTGAATTCGTCGTTTAGTTAGTATTTTTTTTTTCAAGATTTATTGTATTTTCTCAAGAAAATGCAATAATTTTTGTGACATGAGAAACATTCATTACACTGATTCATCATTGTTCATTGCGACTTATTAAATCCGTTATCTATGCAATGATTTGTTTTGGAATTGACACGCGGCATAAACATCGAATCGGCAAAATCTTGGACTTCAGGTGGCAATGACCTGGAATCAATGTAATCATTGGAAATTGGAAAATCATCGGAATTGGAATTAAGATAACACAGAATGTATCTTCATTTCAAACTTACTGAAAGAATTTGCCAACCAACAAATAAAATCTTGGTACTGTGCAATATCTATCGCCACGTTGTATCGCTCTTACAGTTTCTCTTCCAACATCAACTGGGTTAAGTAGACCAACTCGCTCCAATGTAGTTTTGCTTTAAATAAAGTATTTGATAGTTATTTGAATAATGAAATTAAAATTAAAAGCGTCATACCTGACTTTCTTTTTTATATAATCTATGATTTCTTTGCGTGTGTTGCACACGTGTGGAAATATAGTCTGTGAAAAAATAGATTTTTTATTTATAAATTTTCTGTTATAAATAGACATTAATTGAATAGTCACCAGCGTGCTCACTCCCCAATTTTCGTGACGTGAATCTTGATGCAATGCTGAAAAACAAAATGGATTTTGAAAAAAGAAATTCGAGCAAAAGCGATACTAAAGTACCATCCATAAATCCTTTTACAGCATATTTCGATGTTGTATACGTAACAGCGATACTCATCGGATAAAAAGCGATCATTGATGAAATTGCAACAATCAAGCCGGAGCGTCTAGCTATCATATCGTCTATGAAAATTCGTGTAGTCTACAAATTCAAATTTGATTAGCGATTGTTAGCGACTCTAAAATATGCAAAAACCATTGAAAATGTATACCCAAAAATGACTCATCACGTTGGTCGAAATTATTTTTATTATTTCACTTGCTTCACCCTCTCGGAATGAATTTTTCGGCATTAAACCAGCATTATTTACTAGAATATCAACAATACCCAAATCAGCGTTAATTTGCTTCTTCACATTCTCCAATTCGTCATAACTAGTAACATCGACCTGCATTTGGAAAATAGAATCTATTTATTAAATACGTATAAACTTTTAATGATGGGCATTTTGCTGTACTTGGTATCCTTTTGCATTTACTCCCAAACGCTTTAATTCAATACATAGTTTTTCAGCAGCTTGAAAATCAACATCTAAGCATGCAACATTACAACCAGAACGTGCCAATTCCAAGCAAATTTCTCTACCAATGCCATTGCTACCACCTGTTACCTACGTTTATTTTGTACGAATGGATTTAATAATAAATCATTTAAATATGTTTATATTTTTTTTGAGTCTACTTACTACAGCCAACTTTCCTCGAATCTCTTTCAGTGGCTTTGGCACAATCAAATGGAAAACAGCAAGTAACAAATAGTAAAGTTCCAGCACAACAATGATCAGAGTTTTTAACACTAAACCAGGCAATATTTGTAATAAAACAAGTGATTTTCGAATGAAATTTGGCTCTTGTAATTCATCGGCCTTTTCGTACTTTCGGGTATGAAATGAATGAACGTCATCCATATTGATATTTCTTTTTTTCACTTTAGAAATGATTATACGAATACTACAATTTTTTTCAATTCAGTACAATAGCTTCTGCTGAATTTTAACTGCTGACATGAAACTAAATGAAATCGCGATCACTGTTAAATATTGAAAAAATATAAAATAATACTTCTGTTAATTGCATCAAGCAACAAATATAATTCTAAATGAACATCACTTGTAAATAAAACAGATAACCCCGTAATAATATATATAGAATAGAGGCGCCGATGTATAATAGAATAAAAGAACAACGACTTCCTTATCAAATTATGACTTAATCAAAATAAAATTGGTTTTGTCAAAAGCATTTATTTTAATTGATCGAAAGGTGTTCCAAGTACAACTGAACTTATTAACATTTCGTAAATCTGAAAACAACGACAATAAATTCACTATAGACAATATGCAATTTCAGCATATTGTGGCTTGACCGATATTTACACAAAAAAAAACCAAATAACCGGAAAAAATATGCTTTTTACTTTTAACTGATACATGATTGGGAATATATATTAAATGCAGGCCAAGTTTAATAATAAAATGTAACACAATTATATTTTCTATTCAAACCGCGATTATGGAAAATGTGTATTTGTCATGGTGCTCAAAATCATATCATGTTTGGTAGATATGATGATAATTTTATCGAAAAATATATATTTACCAATTGCATGGGTTCAGTACGACTTATGAGTGTATGTGACAGTACGAATTTTCACATCTGTGGATTATTTGCAATAATCACTACGAGGTGAACTTACTATGTTTTTGGGCTGATTGTATCCTAAAATAAATTCCAGTGAAAATAAAATACACATACTGTTCACTTTCACATGTAATCGGTGGCAGAAGCTCAATAGGAGCTCAGAAGTATTTTTTATTTGCATTTAAGTAATGATAATCTCATTTTAGCTAGTGAACAAATATTTGTTAACATAACTGATTATCGTAAATATGCAGTATGGTAGTCAATGGTGCATATCGCATTTTTCAAATCACACAGGCTTTGAATATTAACTACACACTTTTGAGGCTCTTCAGCCAAATTAATTTGTAGTAAAAAAAAATTTGCCTGCATTTTTTTCCCTATACAATATATAACAACATATATATTGTAACAACAACAATTGTTAATTTTATTTTGTGTGTGTTTCAAAAATACCCACGAAAATTTTGGAATATATACCCAATTCATACGTGTTCACAGAACTGACAAAGACTTAGTATAGCATTTATGTTTTAAATAGCAGTACTGTAAACTTTAATCTGAAAAAGATAAAATTTTATCGGAAAATACGTAAAATATAAACTGAAATGAAATAAATTCGATTTATAACTGATCTGGATCTTGAACAAAGAATTAAAATCATGTCGAAACTTCGAACGTGGCCTTATTATTGTGTTAATCACTTGGCTGATTATATGAAAGGAGTATAATTATAAATTTATTAGTTTTTATCAAATTTGAACGTACCAAGTATGAAAACCCAAATTTATTCTTCTAATCTGAATAATGATGACTTTTCGAGTCAAGCACGATAGTCAAACTGAGAGACAGGCGAATATATTTTGCGTAGTAAACATCAACACTTGATAGATACGTGACATTTGCCTTCAACAGATAAATACTTTCATCAAATGGTCAAAGACACGTCGACGTGAAATGCAATTTTCAAAAATGGGAATACATGTTAAGTTCAAGCTTACCTTTTAATTGATGATGCTTTTTGCGGTTGCTTTTTCTTATGCAAATAATGCAAGACGCAATCTTTAAGTGCCGGTGACTTGCAATAGCTTTTTAAGTACGATTATGTTTGTGCTAGAAGTCAATTTTGGTTTTTGTTATTTCATGCATAGCTGTCAACGAACGTTGGTTCATTCTACGAACGATCAAATACACAAAAAATATTCTACAAACGGTTCGTTTATTATTTATAAATGACACGAGCGCTCCCAACTCAAAATGTATCTTTACTCCTCATTTCGTTCAAAATTTGTTGATACAGCCGCCCGAGGTCGTTGATGTTTGTGGACAGCTATAGTTTCATATGTCGCGTGTTAAATATAAAAAAAACAACCGCAAATATCTTTCGTAATTAAATATCCATCTGTTATTTAAATTCATTCAAATAACACATCTATCAACAGCAAATACTTCGATAAATATATGGTTTCTGAAAACTTTATTTTTTTTATCACGTTATATCTTTTCTTTTTCGCATTTTGTTTGTTTCCATCAATAATTTAGTTTTCATCATTTGGTGCCGTTCATATATGGTGGTGGTGTTGCCAGTTTTGATTCATTTACCCCAGGTCCAACATTTGGTTTGAAATTGTCGCGAATGAGGTTTTGAAGTTCTTCTGGCAAAAGGCTAAAATGTAATCAATTGAGCGCAAATTATTTTATCCTATTGATTATGACCTGGATATGAAGAGTGAATTTGAACACTCACTTGAGGAATGTGATCATGTGTTTCATGAATTGCGGTATCGATACGTATTGCTTGTTTTTCAAGATGCCATCAATAGCACAATTGGCCACTTCCTGTGGCGTATAAAAAGTTAATTCGGAGGCTGGATTTAAACCGCCATGTGAAATGAACGATTCGATAAATTCCTTTCGTGTGTTTGTCAATGTAGGAAAAATTGTTGTTACATTTAGATTAAGGTTATCCAAACGAATCAAGTCGTAAAGGCCATCCATTAGACCACGAATTCCAAATTTCGTCGATGAATAGGTAATTGCACGACAGGTCGATTCTTGGCCCATTATTGAATCAATTGAAACAATATGCCCTAAAAAAGTGGAAATAATTTTTTTAGAAATAATTGCAAATATTATTGTCATAAAACTAACAAATAAACCAAATGTTTACCGCTATTTCTTTCGATCATGGATGGAACAAAAACACGAATTGTCTAAATAATTGTATAAATCGGATTTAATTAATACTCCATAAAACGAAATAATCAACGTAATCCATCTAAAATTGTTTTTTTTTTTAAGCATAAACACTTACCCAAAAGTAACTGACCAAATTTACCTGAAAATATATTCAATCAATTCAATTCAGTAGTTTCGACGTTTTTCTTTAAAAAAATGTTAACTCTTTACTTTTATTATTCGCAAAATGTCCTCTGGATTGCACTGAAGCAAGGAAAGCCTTGGTAACAAACCTGCATTATTCACTAGAATATCAACTTCACCTAGATCCACTGCTATTTTTTCTTTGAGTACAACAATTTCCTCGAAGTTTGCTACATCAACCTGAAAGTTTTTTTTGCAGAATTAAAGATTGTCTACAATTATGGAGAAAGAATCATGAAAATTATTTTACTTCGTATGCGAATGCTTTTACACCCAATAAATGTAGCTCCTCTACTGTGTCCAGGGCTCCATCCAAATCCACATCTTTACAATATTTCATGTCTTAGAAAGCAATCAACATTCATACAATTATTAATATATGCATACCTGCAACGGCAACATTACAACCACCTATTGATAATAATAAATATTTAATTAATATTCCTAAAAATAATATTTTATTTTAGCCTGCATTTTTTTCCCTATATAATAGTAACAACAATTGTTAATTTTATTTTGCGTGTGTTTCACATGTTTTCTGTATAATAAAAATTACCCACATTTTGCCAATTCAATACAAATCGCCCGTCCGATTCCATTTGCTCCTCCAGTCACCTGTTAAATCAAAACGAATCGATATTAGTTTTGTAACACTATCTTTTTCTTCTGGAAAATTTATTTCGCACCAAAGCCACTTGATTTTGAATATCTTTCGCGAATTTCGGTATCACAAACAATATGATAGCTTTGATTATGATGAAGACTCCCAAAACGGTGCACTTTAAAGCTGCAAAAAAAACGAGCAAAACATTTTTTACAATTCGAAAAATCGAACGATTTATTGGGTCAGCGGGTATGTATTTTGTTTTGCCAAACGAATAGAGATCGTCCATTTTTCACCGTATAAATTTATTCAGTGTTGCCGAATCAATGATTCAAATAAAAGTGAAACCAATGCATTACGATCAATCGAAAAATATGTACGCGGTTTGCACAGCAAGTAACTAGTTTTATTGAAAATGTATTTAAAGTTCAAGTTTACGATAGAGAATTTTAATTATAGTTGAACAGAATAAATTACAATGCGATCACCTACATTTGTTTTTGCAATGTGCAAAGCTATGCCAGCGTCAACTTGAACGCATAAACGAAAAAAAAAAAACAGAAAATAATATATAAGCCGGACACCAAAAAAGCACAAGTGAAATAAAAACAATGTGGTTCTATGCATGCGGCAGCGAAATGACTAAATAAAAGTAAACAATGAACTTAGTAGAAAAGTCGAACGATATGGATATGTCGTATACTCAAAGGAAGCGCCTCATTAAATTCATAATTATACTCAATTCAAGTGGAATTATTCAAAGTCATTGTAATTATATCTTTCAGAAACTCCTCGCTTAGCTAGAATTCCTTTTAATAATATTAATATTAACACAAAGTTTTTTTCGAATGATCATTCATATTTATTCAAATTGTATAAATCATAAATGCAAAGTATTTATATAATAAAACCATTTTTTCGGTTATATGTTTGGGTCAAAGAATTTAAAACTTGAAAAATTACGCTAGCAAAGAATATAAGTAAAAAAATGGGCTAAGCAATGAAAAACATCAAAGATGCAATTACAAAAGATACTCAATAAGTTGATTGTTATCAAATAATTAAAGTGCATTTGGTATTCTTCCCTTGATTTGACTATAATTGATCATCACGGGGGACGGAAGTAATGATCTATATGTCGTTGGAAAGCTACGAACCACAGCTATCCAGATCTGACGTCAGATTGGAAAAAAGTTCTAAAATGATCGCTAGATGGCGCGGCATGTGTTATTTTTTGGAAAAATGACAATGACTTTTTTCACACCGACCAAAATTAAAAAAATTACATACATAGTTTTCTGGTGGAAAACTGAGCGTTTGTTGGGGACCAAATTTGTGATGTTTTGGTGTGTGTGTCATATCTGGGAAAATTCGTAACGAACCAATTTTTTTCTATAAAATTAATTTTTTTTTTCGAAAATTTTCGATTTTTGGAGAATTTCTAGATTATGGTACACGGGCTGTTTTTCAACAAAGATACGTCATTTTTGGCTCTTTGGCAAGATATTGAGCTCCTCTAGAGCATACAGCGAAGAAATTTTGAAAAAAATTCAGTGGAGATGGTTCAATCCATTTATGACCATACTATTAAAAAATGGGGAAAAATCGATGAAAATCGTAATTTTGTTAAAAAAAATGTGTGAATAACGATTTTTCTTATCATAGATCGAAAGAGCACCCAATTTTGAACCAATGTGCACATTTCTTGGAACCAACATTTTTCAAAATTGGTCAAAGTTGAAAAAAGTGTGTATTTGGCCGACCACCTTTTTAAGATTTTTTTAATAATTGTTTTGATTTTTAGAGATAATCGGCCTGGAAACTACACCTTGAAATGATATTGAGGGCTTTATTCAATTGAAGAAAATGAATTAAAACATTGGTACAATTAGTTTTGAATAGATTTGGTAACCATACATACTAACTAGCATGGTTCAATTATATTTCGTATGGTACAATTACTTTTATAATAACAAAGTGTACTTACCGTCAAGTTTGTCCTTTTATCAATTTCCCTGTTGATATTTTGTATTATGGGAACATCTCTAAGAATTTTGAAATATATACTCTGTATACCAACCTTTTTTGAAAGGTACATTTTAGGTACAATTATTATCAGCCATAAAAATTTAAAAAAAATCGTTGAGTTTTTTTTCGTCATGCTATCACAATATTGAGATGTGAGCTCCAAATATTATCGAAACGAGTAAGGTACAATTAAAAATAAATTGCGGTACTATTAAGTACATTTTTGGTACAATTATTATCAGCCATAAAATTTTAAAAAAAATCGTTGATTTTCATTTTTGCCATTTTTTCGGGAAATCCCCCTTGAATTTTGAAGGACATGTTCTGCAGAAAAACACCATCGAAGTAATGACTTTATGATGATGTTATTTTGAAGGTACATTTTAGGTACAATTATTATCAGCTATAAAACTTTAAAAAATATCTTTGAGTTTTGTTTTCGTCATTCTATCACAATATTGAGTTAGCCCGAAATGTGGGCTCCAAATATTATCCAAACGAGTAAGGTACAATTAAAAATAAATTGAAGTACAGTTAAGTACATTTTTGGTACAATTATTATCAGCAATAAAATTTTAAAAAATATTAGACCAAGAGCCACCGTGCAAATTACTTTTTTTTCTGTGTACGGCAAATTTTCATGAAATTATCATCTTCACACTGTGTACTGTCCGAATAATATCACTTTTTTCATTGTAATTGGGCGGATCGCGAGATCCGCGGTTTTATTCGCGCTACACGAAATAGTATACTTTTTTTGCACCAATACGGCAGATTTTTGTGTTAAATTCTTTGTTTTGATCCAGCTATATTGAAAAGTAAAAAATCTGCCCAAATGAGTGGGCAAATTGTTCAAAAACCAACAAAATAAACAATATTATTGATGAATTTGACACAAGGTATTGAACGCACCCATTGTATCAAC